CCGGTCTTCTTTGTGTGGGAGAGTTGTGAGCACTCACCGAAGTGACGATGGTATGTATGAGCTACTGTGGTGCTCCATCCGCTTCAGGCGCGGAGAACTGCTTGTGGGCGCAGATTATCGCAGTCCCCTGAATCGATTTTTGGATTGTCTGCCCATTCTTCGAACCCACATGAGTCGTCCACACGTTCTACTTATGGACGCTTTTAACTGACCTCGAATATGATGGCCTGATGTGCATTTGATACCTGGACATAGTGAGGTTGAAGCAAAGTTCGTGGATTTGGTACTTGAAGCTGGTGCATCGCAAGACATATGCCAGACAACACGCATAACGACACGTTCAATCCCGTCCTGTCTCGACCTGATGTTAACGAGCTACGAACAACGAGTGCGTGACGTTAGGATCCTGGAGCCCCTGGCTACAAGCGGCCATTCAGTGCTCATAGCTTATGTGGAATTATCTTTGCCGTATTCACGTCCGCTGGAACCAGCTCCCAACTACTAGAAAACGGACTTCGATGGTCTAGCTCAAACCGCGAGCCAACTGGATTGGTCTCTGTCATAAGCTGCATCTGTGGAAGATTGTTGGGTATTTATAAAGGGCAGATTGACATCATTGTGTTCCCAATTTGTGCCATTGAAATGTCGGAAGGTTGGATCGATTAATCCTCATTGGTTTGACAAGGATTATGGAAACCTGCCTCGGAGGCGGTGCAGACTGTGGGACAAATTCCTCCTTTCTGGCTCTGCCAATGATTACGAAGGGTATAAATGTCAGCGGAATCTCTGCAACGATGAACAAATGACTAAACGCCGACATTTCGGAGAGCAGCTCGCAGTAGCCGCGAAGACCACCCCCAAGGGAATCTTTGAATACGTGAAGCGACGCCTGAAGCCGACAGGTGATGTGCCAGTGCTGGATGGCCCGGATGGACAGCCCCCTAACCTCCAGCACTGAGCGTGTGTCCGCGTTGGCAGCGCACTTCGCTTCTGTATTTGCGAATAGCCATGTGTCTGTTCCGAGTTCGACGTGTACTGCTTTTACCGAACTCGACAGTCTGGATTGCAGCGTTGAAGAGGTAGGTCAACTACTCGCTAACCTTGACGGCACCAAACCTGCCGGACCTGGTGGGCTTCATCTACTGGTTCTCAAGTCACTTTCAACCATCCTCTCTCCTGTCGTGACTGACCTTCTCAACAGGTCGCTGTCCGAAGGTTTCGTTGCCGGTTGGCTGGAAATGTTCGGTGGTGAAGCCTATTCCGAAAGGCGGCGACCCAAGCAAAGTAGACAACTACAGGCCAATTTGTCTGACACCTATTTTGGCAAAGGTTGCTGAGAAAATCGGGAAGAAGGGATTGCTTCAGTTACTACAGTCAAACGAGGTCCTGACGCCCGCACAGCACGGTTTTATGTAAGGCCGCTCATGCATTACGAACCTGCTTGTGATGAGACATGAGTGGTTGAAGGCAATAAGCAAGGGGGTCCGTCGACGTGATATTCATCGATTTCAGTAAAGCGTTTGCCAAGGTCAGCCATGAGGTTCTCCTTCACAAACTCAGAATGTGTGGTGTCGGTGGCTCACTGCACCGGTGGATCCGCGACTTTCTTGTTGGACGAAAGTGGAGGGTACAGGTGGACGACCATCTAACTGACTGGTATCCCTCTACAAGTGGCGTGCCTCAAGGCACTGTGCTGTGGCGCACTCTGTTCCTGACCACCATCAACGATCTACCGCAGCTTCTCCGGTCGCCGTGTGCCTTGTTTGCGGACGACATGAAGATTTGAAGAGAAATCGATGCTCCCGATGACTGTGGCCTACTTCAGCAAGACCTCAACCGCTTATCCACATGGTCTGCAGAAGTTCTTCTCCCGATCAACCCAGCCAAGTCTGTATTTATGAGCCTGGGGAAGGGTGCTAACGGCCGAACCTACACCCTTGACGGCCAAACGCTATATCCCACACCCTCCGTGAAAGACCTAGGTGTACTCTCACGCTACGATTTGAAGTCCGTGGACAACACGAACAGGCTATATCGTAACGGACTGCGCATGCTTTGGGCGCTCAAACGTAGCTTCGGCACATGATCTGAAGAGGTTGCCACTCGCCTCTTCTCTTCCATCAATAGACCAATGCTAGAGTACGGTTGTCCCGCCTACTTTCGGATTACTCGAGGCGAGGCACAAAAGATCGAACGGGTCCAACACTTTGCTACCAGGCTCATCCCGAGTTTACGTGGCTTTGGGTATGAAGACCGGTGCGAGAAACTAGGACTCTGCACCTTGTCTTACCGTCGGGTGCGAGTCGACCTCATTATGACCTACCGTATTCTACATCTTGGTGACTTCCCCATGCTAAGGCCAATGCTGCACTTACGAGGGCCATGCAACACACGCGGACACAGATACAAACTTGTCGTGCCTGATGTGAAATGTGTTCCCACCCACTGTGCTTCGAACGGAGAGTGGTAAACATTTGGAACAGTTTACCTGAACATGTGATTGAGGCAACATCTGTGCAGCAGTTCAAAACGCGGTTAGATTTATATTTTACCACTATTCGATTCCGACAACGATTACACACTTACGATGACATATCACATTTGTGAGTCCTGAAATATCGTAAGTCAGATATTTTAAATGTTACATGAGAACGACAACGATGTTCACGGTTGGAAACTTTTATAACATTTTTCACCATATTTCGATAGAGTTGTACAGAATTCATTTATGCTTGCTCTGTAATACAGTATTCAGTATTAACGCTGAACTGACCACACCTTCACTTTACTTAAGTTGTTGGAACACCGCCATATTTATTGGCGACCAACCGCCTTTGCGTTTCCCGATATCAAAAGTGCCTTTAATTGGATGGATCGATGTGTGCTTGAGAAATATGTAAACGTCATAAGAGCGCTGTACGCGCAATGTTTAGGTAGAGTCTGGAATTAATTTTAGTAGCCGCCGCGATGTAATGTCACCAGCATTGTGAGACAAGGATGCCCGCTGCCATCTTTCCTCTCTACCTTCGCTATTGACGAAATCATAGAAACGGCATTCACTAGACACGACCTACCAAGTGTGGGGCTACGTTAAAGTGAAGGACTTCTTGACTTATATTATGCTGATGACGTTGCCATAATCTGTGCTAGAGCTCAAACGTTCAAACCAGCACTGGTTGTCAATCGTTTCGGGTTATGCTTTACGCCCTCGAAGTACAAAACCCTCCTCCAAGGTTTGCAGGGACCTTTCTCTGCACTGATTCGTGGTGGGGATAAGCTGGGAGTCGTTCAGCAATTTAAGCACTTAAGCAACTATCTCAGCGCCTGAGGAATAGAAGATGATGTCACGAACAGTATAGCAAAATTTCGGGGTGTTTTTGCCAATCTATGCCACCCATGGCACCAAAGGGATATCAGTCTCACTTTGAAGGGTAGAGTTTAAAATGCAGCCGTTCGTTCAACCCTTGTTTACTTCTGACAGACTTAAAGTGGCATATTTCCTTCGACCATTGCTGCCCTTGCAGCTTAGCTGATGTCTGATGAGAGCACGCGTGGGCGCCGTGTATTTGGTGCCTGAAGAGCGATAGAGTTGATAGTTATCTGTGTCGTTATTTCACGCACCAGGCTCTGATGGCTGGGCCACGTGGAACGCGTACGTCGTGCGTTGTCTGCGCGGTGTGGGTGTGAATGGAAGAAGATGAAGGGAGGCCAGGCGATGCCTTGGGCATGAGGAATGAAAACCTTCACTAGGAAGTTGCCGTGGGTGCTGCATCCAGGCTGCCAGGCTAGAGTTCGGATGACGATGAAACGTTTGGTTGGATATGGTAGTTTACATCGCCAATAGCAGACCTCAGTGGTGTTTGTGTTGCGTTCTATTGCATTTTCCCTTTAGTTACCCTATCCAACCGCTATCTCACACCCGATGATAGATGATATTGTACATTATAGCAGTTGTCTTCAGGTTTTGTAGTTTGTACTGTTTAAAATTATTCTGTATTGCTTCACCTTAGCTGAGGTCTTTCTCACCCTCAGCTATGGTTTGCTACTGCTAATGGTGATGATGGGAGTTGACGTCGAGCCCTAACCGTATACATTATTGAACAAACGTGTCTCTTATATCTGACAGCCCCATAGCTGTTGCCATAGCTATTTGGGCGTAACCGCAGGATCGCAAAATGTTGAGATGACAGAAACGTAGGAAGACATCGAGCTCAAGAACTGAGCACGCAGGTACTTGTTGTTTTCCTGTTTGTGGTTTATGCAGCTGGTTGCATGATTGATTGAAGTACCGTTTGCAAATAACTAATTCAACAATATTCCTATATTTGCTCTGTTGCATACAGTTGGTAACTTTACGTTCTGATAGTTATTACCGTTTTTACTACCCAAATTTCGTCACACAATAGCTTGAGATTTCAATCTTCAAGCGAGATAACCAGGAATTATTTGCTTGGTGATGTTCGCCATGATAAAAGAATGTACTGTAATTCTGCGCTCGGATGAAAGTTGTAAGCTTTGATCCTAAATATTTATATGCCTTAATGTCGAATGTATTGCATCCAACATATTATGATCTCAGCTTGCAAAATGCTAAAATTTGAGGCGTTTGAAGCTTGATATTCATTGGGTGATTGTACATAAATGTCTTTCTTCTACTATTGTTTCACTCTGCATGACATTAGGGAAGGGAAAAGACAGTGCAGGCCACAACAAATTGTCTCATGACCTAAAGCCTGGAGCACACCAAATATGTTAACTTCTGTCGGACAATCTTATTTCAGCGTAATTGTAAATAGAAAAGTACTTTACGCCGAGCATGATATGTACAACATTCTATGTAAGTGTAGACTTTTGTTAACCACCAATTTCGTGAGAATAAAATCGTGGTTGGCACCTACGATTAAAGCTAATCAGAAATTGGAATCTCGCTTTCGCCCCTTATTAAAACATTGAGAACAAAGCCGTCTTCTAACACGTCCAGTTTTCATATCTTCACACTCAGGGAAGTAACACAAGGTCTTCAAACCAACAGATAACCTATGGTACACCAGGAGCATTTGAATGGAAAATATTCCACATGATATGCACTATCTTGCAAACAACCGACCCGTCATCAATTCACCATTGGCTTCTTCATTCCAATGACAGGTAAGCACCGAGATTTGAACTCATGTCAAGTGTCCATGTGCATATTATTATAGACAGCATGTGGTCGGTTTGTTCGCACACCGGACTGGCATCCTAGGAAATATGACTCTCAATTTTAGTTTCAATGGAAGAAAGTGCTTCATGCATTTAGTAGGGTGCATATTCAGCAATGGAAAAAGAGTAAACAAAAAGCGTATAATGGATAAAGGCAGCAATATGGCTACAACGTAAAGTTGCTTGTAAACTACATAAATACTGGGATCTACTTGCACAAAAACGCACCGAATATGGAAATACTAATGAGTGGTAAGCTTTCGTAGGGGAATAAACGGATCTGTACTTTTGGGTGGTTAGGTTGACGGCATCCGTATCCGGAGTTGCCTGTCACTGTGGCCTTCACGGGGACAGCTACAGGACGCCTGCGTCTATAGAGGGACCAAGGGTAGCTTGCGCTGCACCACTCACAGTTCCACCCACACACCTCGTATCCGGTTTAAACCCGGAGGGATGAGACTGGGAGGCATGTGGACGGGAGCCACGTTTCATCAGCGAAGCCCGCCCACACTCCTTCACCAAGCAGAAAAGAAGCATTCTGCCTACTTGGGAAATTATGCACACCATGGGTACACAAGACAATGACTGGGCCTTAGCTCGTTCCATGCAAGCTGGAGCCACTCACCGAACCTAGCACCGCCACGAGGACGTTGCACCCCGTCCACTCCAGCGAAGACCAACGGTCTCCTGGAGCTGGCAATCAGAGGTAGAGAGTTATTAGAGAGGTAGGCACCTTGTAAACATTCACAGGGGGCGCAACTAGACTGGATAGTTCAAACAACTTCAGAAATGCAAGAATACTCATCACGCAAACAAACTTACCATATCCGCCACCTTATTGGCCTGGATTAGCAAATCGAATGGGAGCGTATGCATTGTCCTTCTCTTAGCGTGCAATAGTGTCATCTTCTATACCTTGGCAACCGCCCTCTCGATCACTCAATGGAATTCACACCAAGCAACTTTACCTTTGATTCGTAACACCTGAAATACATATTAGTTTGTGATAAACTCACTTTGTTCGTGTCCTGGTAATGTTATTTTCGGTTTGCTCACGTGCCGATTCCCTGCACTAAGTTGGCCGAACAAAACAGTAGGAGTATCCTCGTGGAATTCATTCCATATACATCTATACGTGGGTTGTCGTCATCCGTGTCCAATGGCAGTTCGAATACAACCTATACACTTGCATTTGTCAAAAGTTGATTATGAACTGCCACAAACTAGATACAGTTATAGCAAACTCCTGAGCAATAGTACTACAAACATGCATGGGTTTCCTTTTGGGATCAGGGTAACAGCCATTTTCGCACGCACGAGAATAAGTACCCAATACGAACTGTTGGTGTTTTCTTTACTGGTTAGACGTGAACATAACTGACAGCCTTAAGTCTTGGGTATCAATATTTGGATGAAATCGATGAAATCGTGAAGCAACAGTCCTCAGTAAGCTTACCAGGTAGAATAAGTGATAAACAAGTGGTAGAGTGAAATAGCGTGTACTTTGGTGTTGCCTCCTATATTTAATGTCTGGTTTGCGTAGCTGATGGGGAAGATCGCACAGTGTGCGAAAGCCATGGGTGTTCACTTCACGCTCCCCCTGTCGCCAACCGGCCCAATCATCTGCTGTCTAAGGTACGTGCGTATTCTCAAAGAACGATTTCTGCGAAATCTTAAGCATTGGCAGGTGGCAATGCCACATATTCGCCGCGTACGTCCTCGATAGCACGACAACAACCGTAGTACTACGTCAACTAACTCCCGGCGCCCACACTCAAACAGGCGGCTTTCTAAACCAGGTTTGCAATGTTTTGCAAATGTCCAAGACGTAGCATTGCATAAAACCAAGTACTCAAACGCTTGTACATACCGCTGTATACTCTGATGTGGCTATAAGATATTTGGTAATGATCTGCATCGTCCGTCTCGGGTGCAGCCATTCGGTGATCCTGAAACGATTATCGTTATGCGCCGATTCCTTTCCGATGTAATATATTAAGACACTGACGTATCATTACCTTCTTCTTAGTCTATACAGAAGATTGGCCATGTTCAATTCAACTTCTGTTAACCGATCTGTGTTACGGCCTCCAATCCACTTGGTACTTGCGTTTTCATATATGCCCCGGTAAATTCCGTATGGCTGATGAAAAACAGGAAATATATCTATGCTCACTCCCATCCCTAACCTGTGGAGCGATTCATGAACCGTCGATATCATGAAAATCGCTAATCGGTTGAGTGTTGGAATTATTCACTTGCCACAGATATTCCAGGGCCATTTCTCTTCGGACGCATAGTCCAACGTGATCACACGAGGGACAATTTCTGAGGATTGTGCTCCAAATATTAAACTTTACACTGTATGTGTAATGCAGGCAACCAAGTTTAGGTTACCTTTCGATTTGCGCGTGTCCACCAAACTGGAAACATACTCAATAATTAGTCATCCTAGCATCGATTGGTATCAATAACTCAATTCGCTCGGAAACTCCGCGTGTACGTCAACTACGTTGGTGCTCATGGAAGGACTGAAGCCTTATCCTGCGATGTATCGGCTCTCTAAGCGTCATGCTAGTTTGCAAGATGCAGCTGATTAAGTTAGGGTCATGTAATCTACAAATCGATTTCAGTGGGCAGAATGAAGGTAGCAAAAGGGACAGTGACAGCAGCGCATAGTCTGATGGGCAATGCAATGGAGGTTGCATAGTGAGCTGAATTGCGGCCGAATAATAATACGAAGAGGAAGACGCCATAGCTCACCGTCTTGATATATCACCGTACTAATCTCTACTTGAGAAGTTAGCAAGGGTATGGTAGGTCATGATGAGTACAACAGTGAGGCGGGTAACACGTGAAGTAATCGCGAAATACAACCGAGTTAAGTAAGCCCAATAAAGGTAGGTTAGATATGATTCATCCTTCCTAGGCGGGTGCAATAAAGATAATACATCGCACCAAGTAAATAGTTAATGATTCTTGTGTGGAACTGGGCCCTAACGCGACTTAAATGAGCGATAGAATAAGGTTGACAAAAAGATGTCAGAGATGGTGTTAGCAACTTTACAAGTTAGCGGGGAAATGGTGCGATAAAGTCCACTGATTTTTATAAGCTCAGCTAAGTTCAAGTCCGCAGTGAAAGAATGGGAATTATAGCTGTACTCACTTGAACGGAGCAGTAGAAGCACAGTGGAACTGTGAGGACTTATTCTTGGTGTGTGTGGTAAATGCCGTCTCCTATATTAACTGCAGGCTATCTGTGTCGGAAGGTAAACCAGAGCCGGTCCGGTCGTTTCTTGTCCGATGTGAGCGAGAATTAACAGGTATGTGGAACCACCAAGTCGTCCGTCGTGAGTTAGTATTTATTTCCCCTTGGTCGTTCGTTTTTAGTGCCAACATATCTCGACCAATTCATCAGTGCTACCTGTGCCCAGGCATTTCGACTTGGATGTCACATCGTGTTGCCGCTGTCGCGGAATTAACATTGATGACTTCTCTGAACCGCAGTTCGTGTACCTGAGGATGGTAACAGTACAGGAGAGTGTATGGAGACACTTGACATGCCCTACTTTGATCTCATATTGCAACACACAAAATATCCCGGTGTCACACGAGAAGAAATGCACTAAGTTCCATTTGTAAAGTGAGAACGTAACGAGACACGAACAGATGTTATCGCAACCTGTAATTTGGGCGATCCCCAGTTAGACATCGAAACAGCAGAAATGGCTGTCATGCGAGTGAAAATGCGTTTAGTCTGTAAAGCTGAAGTGGGGCGTTTACAAGTGCTATTAACTGGCCACCAGTTAGTCATGCAACATGTAGACGAGTAGCAACTCCCGCTTCGAGTAGAGATATCATTTAATATACCCAAGTTCCCTAATTCGAGTTACAATACTGCACTGTTGCGAGCGGTCACTTGTTCACACTTGTTTATGTATTACCACAAACCGAATGGAGAAACAGTGACACTACGAAAGTGCATGAGTTTGGAACCAATGTAAAAATAGCAGCCATATTCGTACAGTTGTGTAAAATCACACCTACATTTATAAGCAACCAAGATGACTATCGGTGTTTACTTAACGTTTGGACTGGAAGCTAAATGGTATCCTTAAATTTAGTCCGAAATGTGGACATCAACAATAGATAGAGACAGATATAGGAAGACGGAAGTAAAGGTCATCAATGCGGTCACCAGGTGGAATGATGCACATATAAGAGGTACAATAACACAGTAAGCTCTTATCGTTGGTGTTTGCTCTAGACGCTGCATGCTATATGTGTTAGAAGGCGGTAATATCACACATTCTTTGGTGGCCTTTTTGTCGCGAGCCCAGGGATAACACATCTAGTAAATCCCGCTGCGTTCTGTCCGAAATTCGGTTTTCGAAAAGTGTTTAAACTGTTTTAGCAAACTTATAAGAATTAGCTTGCATAACATCCAATTGCTCAACCGCAGGCAGTTGTGGTGATAAGCTATTTACTATCAATCTGTCATCATACATCTCGGTTGCAGCCATACTACGCTACAAATTAATTGTTTCTGTGTGTAGATTTAGGTTTCAATGAAATATACTCAATCACTACCGTACCATCACAGTTGAACTTACCTAATTCTAGGTCGATGAAGCGGATTTGCGATATCTAATGCAAATTCTAGCAGGCAGCTTTGCCCTTCCGCCTCTAACCTCGATAATAGCTGCCTTTTCCTAAGTGTACCTAAGTTCAATATGAAAGATGAACAACTGGAAATACAGCCACACTCACTGTCATGACTAAAATGTGGAACAGAACACATAATATTAACACCATGAAAATCGCTAGTCAATTATTTGCCGGGATTGTGCACTTTACACGGATGAGCCAATGTGTGGACACCTGCACACCTGCATTTTTGTCTGTTCGGGGAAGTTAACGTACAGTCAGATCGTAAAGAGGGTGAG